ATGAGTCTTCCCATGTTGTTCTTTAAGAGTATCATATCAGGGCTGGGTGCGGTGGCTCACGCCTGTAATCCTAGCACTCTGGGAGGCCAAGGCGGGAGGCTCGCTCAAGGTCAGGAGTTCGAAACCAGCCTGAGCAAGAGCGAGACCCCCGTCTCTACTAAAAAAAATAGAAAGAAATTAATTGGCCAACTAAAAACATATAGAAAAAATTAGCCGGGCATGGTGGCACGTGCCTGTAGTTCCAGCCCCTCAGGAGGCTGAGGGAAAAGGATCGCTTGAGTCCAGGAGTTTGAGGTTGCTGGTGAGCCAGGCTGATGCCACGGCACACTAGCACGGGCAACAGAGTGAGACTCTGTCTAAAACAAAAAAAAGAGTATCATATCAGTCAGTGTTTGATCCTATAGGCAGAACCACTATGAATGATATAAAATAAGGGATTTATTGTAGGGCTAAAGCCTTATGTAAATATAGGAGCCAGTGGAGACATCTATGCCAGGCTGTCAAGTGTGTATAGTGAAGCTAGACCAGCCATTAGGAAGGAGAGCTGGTAGAAGACAGCAAGGATGAACCAGAAGGACAAACTGGGACAATTGGATATCCATTTGGAAGAAATAAAAAAGAACATTGATCCCTGTCTTACATCATACAGAATATAACATACAAAATAAGATTAATCAGAATATGTTATTGATCCAAATGGAAAAGGCTAAAGAATAAAACTCCTAGGAGGTAGTATAGGGAAATAATAATATAATTGTGACCTCAGTATAGGGACAAAAAACACTAATGACTGAGGAAACAACTGATACATTGAATTACATTAAAATTAATAATTATTCACAATAAAATACCATTAAAAGAGTAAAAAAGCCAGCCACAGAGTGGGAGACACTTTTTTTCTTTTTTCTTTCTTAGATCCAAGCCTTTGTGAAAAGGGAGACGTTTTTGACATGTATAATTGACAAAGAGCTTGTATTCAGAGATGGACAACCTAATATAAAAATGGGCATGACATTTGGATAGGAACCTTACAAGAAAAAATATCCAAATGGCCAATAAACATTAGGCAACCTTGTTAGTCACTAGGAAAATGCAAAATAAAATTCATACTGAAGGTGACTAAAATCCAACACATCTTAAAATCTTATATCCTTTTTTTCTTGACCTATTTGTAACCATGACAGTTGTGTTGAAATTTGCCACATCTGATGGTGTATTTGTCAGTTTTTCCCTGTAGTTCTAGCAATTTCTTTTTATTGAAGTGAAATTCATATACCATAAAATTAACCATTTTAAGTGAACAATTAAGTGGCCATTAGTACATTCACAGTTGTGCTACCAATGCTTAAAGGAAAAGGAAGCCCTATACCTACCCTATACACATTAAGCAGTTACTCCCCATTTTCCTCTCCCCATCCACCTCTCCACACCCACCCACCCAGCAATCTGCTTTCTGTCTCTATGGATTTACCTATTCTGGATATTTCTTACAAATGGAATCATACACTATATGGCTTTTGTGTCTGGTTTCTTTTGCTTAGCATAATCGGGGTTTTTGTTTATTTGTTTGTTTATTTGTTTTGAGACAGAGTCTTACTGTGTCACCCTAGCTAGAATGCAGTGGCATCATCATAGCTCACTGCAACCTCAAACTCCTGGGCTCAAGGGGTCCTCCTGCCTCAGCCTCCTGAGTAGGTGGGACTACAGGAGCGTGCTGCTGCACCCAGCTCTTATGTTTCTGCTTGTTCTTTTTTATACTTTCTTGTTTCATATTGCTAATATCCTCCCTTCTCTTTTATAATACGTTTACTTGGCTAGTTTTGAATTTTTGAGCCATGCGTTCTAACAATTTTCCTGATGGATGTTTTCATTTGAAATGTCTATGCTCCTCAAATGTCTTTTGATTTTGCGTGTGAGGTTATTTTCCTGTGAGGACTCTGATAGTACAGACTATGTGGTCAGTCAGTGGTATGGGGAAGTTATATAATAGCCTCAGAGTTCCCCAGAGTCCCCTCTAAGGTTGTCTGGTTGGGCTGTAGTGGCCTAACTCCCCCACACAGCACCTGACCCCACCTCAGAGGCCGCAGGGTGTGGGGGTCAGGGTGAGAGATATGGGGAACTTCGCAGAGCATTAGGGAAGACCAAGAGGGCACCTGTTCATTCTTTATTTGGAAAAACATGTTGGGGTCAGGTACCGGAGATACCAGGATGACAATACCGACAAGGGTCCTGCCTTTGCAAAGTCCACAGTCTAGTGGGCAGGACAAACATTAATGGAAGGTTCCCGCCAACACATTTCTGCCTGCGGTGGGTGCTATGGAGTGCAAAGTTCCCCAGGGGAACCCCAATCCAGGTCCGGTAGGGGGCGGGGTGGGTGGCAGGGCATGTGAGGAGTGTGGTGAGTGAGGTGGAGAGAACAGGCTAGAAAGACTCTCTGTCAGAGTGAATAGTGGGTGACGCCCAGAAACCCCACGAGTCTGAGGCGATGAAAGGGGTTTGAAGGGCTGAGGCTGGGAGGAGGATGGCGAGGGATGCGCCTGGAGAGGTCGGCAGGGCCAGATTGAGCAAGGCCTCATGGGCCAAGAGGGCTACGGCTTTCTCTTCAGAAGAGGCGGCTCTACGTGAGCAGGGGAGAGAGCAGGGAGTCCAGTAGGAAGGCTGCGACTGTGGGCGGCTGAAGGTGGCGTGAGGGGCGGGAGGGCAGGTCGGCAGGAGGGGAGGGGTCAAGTGGTGGTCAGCTCGGGGGTCGTCCTGCCGGGCCCAGCGACTCTGCTTCCGCCCACAGCGGGAGGGTGGCTGGAGGCCGCAGTCAGAGCGCGCAGAGCCTGAGGTCGGTAGGTATCTCTGATGTTCTAAAGCCATCTGAGCCACAAAAGGGAGAAGAATGGAGACAGACGAGTAAGATGGGCTCTGGGGTTTTCTGATAGAGGGAAAAATAAATAGCTGAAAGGACGGCCCAGAAAGATAAAGATGCCAAAGTAAAGCCAACTTGATAAGTTATCTGAAGCAGTAGAGTAGAAAGTGAAAGAAAAGAAAAATGAATAGCAAATAAGTAGACGACTTGGGTAAAGGAACCCCAGGATGTGAGACAGTATAAGAGGAAGTTTAAATGAAAGCACTGGGCTAAAGCACCCAGTGTCCTGTCCCACAGGGCAATGGGACAGGCACGGGGGCGCGTGTGGGGGGTCCTCCCTGCCCGAAGACGCAGCAGCCTCATGGGAAGGGCCGAGAATCCCCAGCTGCCTCCAGCAGGAGAGGCTACCGCGAGGAGGCGCAGGGCAAGGCCGGGACTTTGGCGGGGTCGCGGGTTCCAGGGACGCGGAGAAGTGTGAGCAGATGATGGAAACCGGGAGGACGTATCCAGGGATGGCGGGAGGCTCCGAGCAGGACTAGGGTGGCCCCTGCGGTCCTGCCTTCCCTTCCCTCTCCCGGAGCAACAGAAATGTTCCCGAGCACTTAGCAAGCCCAGGGCTGAGAGCCAGGCCCCCGCGCCCCACCTCGCGGAGCCCTCAAAGAGTCTCACGGACGTGGAAGCGCGTTTGCTCCATTTTACGGGTACTGCCTCTGCGGCTCAGAGGGGACGGCCCCTCACCCAAGGCCAGTCACACAGGTATCGGGTCCTCCCTCGGCCGTGTAGCCAACTAGTTCTCCCGCCCAGGGGTCTCCACGCCACTAGGGCCCCCCTCGGGGAGGAGCGGGCCCGAGCCCTTCCCGCTCCCCGCCCCCGAGGGGCGGCCCGGGGGGCGGGCGGAGGAAGTGAGCGCAGCGGGGAGGAATGCGAGCGGGCGGGGCGTGCGGGCCCGGGGCGGCGGGACAGCCGGCAGGCGGCCGGACGGCGGGTGCGGCGGGACCAGCGCGCGCGATGCCTCACTTCACCGTGGTGCCGGTGGACGGGCCGCGGCGCGGCGACTATGACAACCTCGAGGGGCTCAGCTGGGTGGACTACGGGGAGCGCGCCGAGCGGGAGGACTCGGACGGTGAGGGCGCGCCGGGAGCGGGCCGTGGCGGGACAGGGGGGCCGGCCACGCGGGGCCCGCGCCCACACGCAGCCGCGGACCTTGCGCGCACACGTCGATGCGGTCTCAACTTTCCGTCGTCTGCGCCGCCGCAATCAACTCCCAGCTCCGCGCGGGCGGACTCGATTTTCCCCAGCTCTTGCCGCCCGTCGCCCGACCGCCCTCCCCACCCCAGCTCCTCCCCTGCAGGCGGCGGGCGAGGGCTGCAGACGTGGCTGCCCCGGGAAACCAGCCTGCCGGGCAGCCCGGCTCGGGGATAGCGCCTGGCCCCCAACTCCGGTCCTTCCCGGCTGGGAGCAGAGCTGAAGCCCCGACACCAGCCCCTTCAACTTCGGTGCATCTCCCCCATGCTTTTTCGCCTCAGCTCCCCATTTGGGGTGCAGCGTCTCTGCCTTTAAGACTCCCCTCCCTCCCCCCTCCAGTGTCTCCCTGCACCTCCGGTTAGGAGAGACGGGTGTGCCTGCCGATGGGCTCTGCGCATAACTGCCTGAGTGCGCTGGTGTTGTCCCGAGGCTTAGATGAGTAGGAACAGTGGGCATCTGCGGAGCACTCTCATGGAGACAGGCTTGTCTGGGCACTCTACGTGAATTAACTCGTTTCATCTTCCCAGCATCCCCCAAGGGATAAGTACTGTTACTCGCACTTAGGAAGGAGTGGAGGGAGGAACAGAGGTTATGTAACTTGTGTCTGTGGTATGTCATTCAAACCCAGGCTTGAGATTCCAGTGCCTTAACCTAGGTGTTAGGGCTGGGCTTGGGGGTAAGCCCCTCCTCACTCTTCCCAGATACCTGCCTCATACCACATCCCTTTCTCCATCTCCTACCCCAAGAGGTCCCCAGGGGCTGTCCTTATCAGGGCCCACCCTTGGAGTGTGAACACCACTGATAACATGTGTATGTGTAACAGCACATGCATGTATAATTATGCTTGTGCAGGTGTGTAGCTGTGGGTATCACAAGGTGAAGGCCAGATCAGGTCAGGGCATGCTCATGGCCACTGTTTCCTGCAGGGATGTCAGTCATGAGGATGGTGATTTGACAGATGACAAAAGCCTGCAATGTCTGTGACTGACCCTGATAGAGATATGTAGGAAACGTGCTATTGACATGTGTCAGGTGATGTGATCTTGACCTCTGACCTGTGATAGTGACACAACTGAGGTGATCCATGCCTCATATGAGTGATTGCTAGGGTGTGTACCACCTGACTGCCATGTGTGGAGATAGCCAGGACAGTGGCATGGGCTGCTGGACACTGTGAAGGTTTTATAAGCCTAACAGCTGTGTGAGTGCCCTCCCTCCTCCCCACCCCCAATGCCCTTGTCTGTCCCTGTTCAAGTGCTCAGGGCAGGAGCCAGTGTCCCTGCTCCCCTAGTCCCTGGAGGCTCTCTCTCCCCAGAGGCTAGACTGGCCAGCCTGCCTAGGATCAGCCTGGACCAGTTGGCAGGCAGAGCTGAGCCTTTGGCCCCGCCTTGGTCCCTGCAGGGTGGCTGGAGGGACCTGGAGCCACATTGGCTAATTCCTGCTGGATCCCCCCAGGTTAGGCCAGCTCCTCCCATCACCCCCTTCCTCTTCCTACTCCTCTTACTCCTTTTCAGCTAGACTTTGGCAGTCTGCAGGATGGGGGACACCCTGCACCCAGGTGAGTGATTTTGATCCTTGGTGGGGACTGGCAAGGCGTCAGAGGGCACAAAAACAGTGAGCCTCAGGTCCTGTCCCTCCAGCTCAAGGCTCACAGCACCGCTACTCTAAGGGGCGTACATGGGCCTGATCATCCAGGCCACCTTGGCCTGTGGGCAAGGGGTAGGGAGGTTCTAGACGGGCACCTCTGGCAGATGCCCATGTGCACAGGGATCAGGAGGGTCACCTGGATCCCTGCCTGCCACTGGTGCATTCACAGTTGCTGGTGTGAACACTACTGTGTATCTCATAGGCAGCCCATGGGCCTAGGCCGTGCTCAGATCCACTAGGGGTCTCAGGTGGCATCTGAGCAAGCTTTGGCCTGGCAGGCATGCCCAGACCTGCCCTGGAATTTTTGGAATAGCTGAGGCCTAAACTGGCAGCCTGAAGCTTAGGGCAGTACAGACACCCAGCCACTGCTTTAGACCCCTCCATAGTCCCACAATCACATGGAAGCTTTGGGGAACTCCAAGGAGTACCTGCCAGGTGTCTGGCACCAGACTGTTCCTTTTCTGGTGCAGCTAGGCTATTGGAAAAGCAGGTGTTACTATCTCTACGTCATAGAAGAGGAAGCCAAGGCAGCTCAGAGAGGTCAAGCAGGTTCCCCTGGGTCACACAGGGGAAGGGCCAGGAATCCAAGTCAGACTGCCAGCCATCTGAACACCCAGAAGCCAGGGTATAGCCTGGCAAATTGCATATCCCAGACTCCCTTCTCCATGTTAAAAGATTGTTCTGCTCTCTGGGGTATACCATGGATGGACCGGGATCTGGAGTAGGAACAGGGAACTTGCAGCTCAGACCCCACTTGGCTCTGGTGGACCCTGGCACCCAGGTGTGGCCCTCCTCTCTGGGTGACCTTACCTCTGAACCTCTCTGAGCCTTACTCTCCTTGTCACTAAAAGGGAATATATGCTATCTACTGGAATGTTGCTGTGAGATTAGAGACCACTCTTGGAAGGGCTCTGAGCCTCCCTCAAGCAATGGCTAAAGGGACAAGGGATCAGCTAGGTCTTGGAGGATCATTCACAGGCATTGTGGAGGGGCTGCTGTGTACTCAACTGTACATTTTCTAGATACTAGCACAGTCTCGTTAGAAAGATAAGGCAGCAGTGGTGGGGCAGGCCACACCACATGAGTTAGGATAATTTATAATTTATTTTCAACCTACTTCCACAAAAAGATCAGAAGAAACATGCCTCCCCAAAGAATTGTTACTGTCAGGAAGATCACAAACCATGCAGAGGAAGGGGACAAGGACTCTGAGATGAGACAGATGGTGACTGCATCTAAGGAGTACATTTAGCTTGGAGATTCCTGGCAGCCAAGGCAGAAAGGGAAGTAAGATGAGTGGTATAGCTCCCATTTTCTGACAAAATGTAGGATCTGATTTATTCAGGGAGACAGTTTTTTTGTCACGAAAATCCAAGAGTCATTTTCAGAGGCATTAGGTATCACTGATGGGCCATCAATGTAGTGGGCCATGTGTGACTGGGTTTCTAGAGTTTTCTTGTAACTCCTTATCCTGATCCTGAACAAACATTGAGGGCACAGCAAATGTCATAGGGTATCTGAGGAACTACGTGACCCCACCAGGCTTTCACACGACGGGGGGGGCTGACTTGACCTCTGGCTGCTTTTGTCCACTGTGCCGTTGGCATTGACCTACAGGAACATGGGGACTGAGCTGCTAAGCTAGTCCAGGTTGCTGGATAAGACAAATGTATTGCTTTCACATGCTGTGGGAAGGAAGCACTGACTTTGCCCCAGAAATTTTCATGGGCACACTTTACCTGTTAGTGTGCTTGGATAATGAAGAATCCACAGGACAGCACCTGCTGAGTGGTTGTTGGCTCAGAGAAGATAAGTTAAGCCTCATCCTGATAGCAAAACGATGTATCAGTTGAAGTAGGATGCATCTGCCAGCATTCTCAGTTGCAAACAAGAGAAATGAATTGTCGCCTATTTAAACAAAATGTTCGTGTGCACAGCCATTGCGTGGCCCAATCACTAGTCTGAGTTGGTGATGACACTTCTGTTGCCACTTTCATCACCAGACACCATGCCAGCCCTTTTGCCCTCAAAACTGCCTACTGCTGCCATCTAATACCAAAGTGGCCTCTTTTTTGTTTTTCTTTTTTGAGACAGAGTCTTGCTCTGTTATCCGGGCTATAGTGCCGTGGCATCAGCCTAGCTCACAGCAACCTCAAACTCCTGGGCTCAAGCAATCCTTCTGTCTCAGCCTCCCGAGTAGCTGGGACTACAGGCATGCACCACCATGCCCAGCTAATTTTTTCTATATAATTTTAGTTGTACGGCTAATTTCTTTCTATTTTTAGTAGAGACTGGGTCTCACTCTTGCTCAGGCTGGTCTTGAACTCCTGAGCTCAAACGATCTTACCGCCTCAGCCTCCCAGAGGGCTAGGATTACAGGCGTGAGCCACCACAACCGGCCCCAAGGTGGCTTCTTTGAACCAAAATGTCTGCTTCTCATTTGCTGTGAGGCCTTGAGCCACTGCTGCTGCTGCCAGACTGTCTGACGCTGGGGGTTGGGGGCCCCTCATCATCTACAAAGGGAGTGCTTGGCATCTTCTGCCTGTTTGGTTGGAAGATGGGAATGTCACCCACTGAGACTTACAAGGGACAAGAGTTGGAAAGCAGGGAAGCATGTGATTGATGGGAGGCCAGAAAAAGCAGCTGAACTTTGGGAGTTGAGGCAAGTTTATAAAAAAACAAGCATTTGTTTGGGACGGGGCGCAGTGGCTCATGCCTACATCCCCAGCACTTTGGGAGGCCAAGGCGGAAGTATCTCTTCAGGCCAGGAGTTCTAGACCAGCATGGGCAACATAGTGAGATCCGGTCTCTACAAAAAATTTAAACATCAGCCAGGTGTGGTGGTGCACACCTGTAGTCCCAGCTACTCGGGAGGCTGAGACAGGAGTATTGCTTGAGCCTAGGAGTTTGAGGCTGCTGTGAGCTATCATCAGGCCATTGCTTTAAAGCCTGGGTGACAGAGCAAGACCCTGTCTTAAAAGAACAAAAAAAGGAACATTTGGCTCCTTTCAGCGAGGTTTCCTTCTAGCTGGGACACAGTCTCACCAGCCTGGGGGGGGGGGTCGAGGCTAGTCTGGGGCAAGCGGCAGAATATGAGCACAAAGAGGCCAAGGCGCTGCAGCCCCTGCCAGCAGTCCCTGTTCAGCCCAACACCCACCAGCTTTTGTAGGTGACCTTAGTAGGGGCTCCACGCCCTCTAGTGATCTCTACCCTCTGGGGCCTACCCTGCCTCCCAGCATGCCCTGGGGCTGCCTCTAGGACGCCCCCGCGCGGTGCATAGTGGGGCAGCTAGCTGGCCACCTGAGAGCCATGGCAGCCAAAGGTGCTCTGTGCGGCTTCATCTATCTGGAGGGCAGCACCCGAACGGTCCCGGAGGACGACGAACGCCTGTCGCCCTGCACCCTGGGTACTCCAGAAAGCAGAAAGGCTGGGGAGGGTAGCAGTTTGGAGTAGGGGCGGTCTGAGGGCGGCCCAGGGCCGGGTCACGCCCCCGGCAGGCTCCGCCTCTCCGTGGTCTCACGTGCTTGTATTTGTCTGGGGCGCTCACGTAGGTGTCTTTTCTAGAGGGAGTGATGCTCTGGGTTTGGTCGCTGGCTGCTCCCTGGCCCTTCAAGGATGCTGGCAGGTTGTGATGGGGAAACTGAGTTCCAGCCTTGTGACATTGAGGCTTCCAACGTGCTCCACCGGGATGATGTTTTGGGGGCGGGATACAGACTGGGGGCTCAGGAAGCAGACCCTAATTGTTCCTCTCTCTTCACAGGACATGGCAACCACAGGGAAAGCAGCCCTTTTCTTTGCCCCATGGAGGCTTCCAGAGGAAGTGACTACTATGACAGGAACCTGGCACTGTTTGAGGTAGCTGAGGAGCCATTCTGGGCCACAGGTGTGGCAGGGAGGTGGGCGGGAGCGGCCTGTGGGGAAGGACCCAGGCCTCAGCTGAGCAGGCAAGCTGGGTGGTCGTACCTCCTCTAGTCTCCTCTTGCCAGCCTGGCTCTCCTGGCAGCCAGGCTGCAGTTCCTTTGGCTCTTCGACTGAAACAGCTTTCCCAGAGGCCCCTCACAACACCCCCCCCATTGCCACGTTCAGGGCTATTCACCTCTGTCTTCCTTGTAACCCCTCAGCGAAGTGACCACTTCCTCAGGGTTTCCCACCTCAGGGTTTCGTCTCTTCTCTTCACTCCCGGTTCTTCTCCCAGTCCATGGTTCTTTGTCCTCTCTGGTTGGCTTTTCCAACTCTGTCCTTCAGAAAAAGCAGCTGAACTTTGGGAGTCAAGGCAAGTTTATAAAAAAAAAACAAGCATTTGTTTGGGACCTGGCGCAGTGGCTCATGCCTATATCCCCAGCACTTTGGGAGGCCAAGGCGGAAGTAGCTGAGGAGCCATTTGGGGCCACAGGTGTGGCAGGTAGGTGGGCGGGAGCGGCCTGTGGGGAAGGACCCAGGCCTCAGCTGAGTAGGCAAGCTGGGTGGTCATACCTCACTGAGGCCTGGTCTTTCCCACCAGATCAGCCCCCTCCCCCCATTTGCAGCCTTAGTGGATACTTATCTGAAAAGATTCCCAAATTTGTGCCTTTGCACTTGAATTTTATCCTTTTGAGACTCAAGTTGAAAAGTGAGGTCTGGATTTAAGACACAATTTAGGCTCCTAAACTCTGACCCACACGTTCAGTGCCCCATGGCTAAATAATGTAGGTTCCTCAATCTCCACGTGCCTCAAAGGGCCTACATCTTCACCTCTCGCTCCCAACCCCCTTCTCCCTGGGAGTAGTGTCAGAAAGGAGCTGACCGACAGGGAAAGGCTAAATAAATGTGGGCAAGAGGCAGGTGGAGCCGCAGTGCTGAGAAGGCCTCCTGACCTGGGGAAGCAGCAAGGTTCTGCAGTGAAGGCCTTGACCTGGCCCCACCTGGGGATGGCTGGGGGCCAGCATCCCCCCTCTGCAATTGACATGGGTGCTCGCAGGGACTGGGGGCTGGAGGGAAGACCCTCCAGGAAGATCAGGGTTTGGGCAGACAAGAGAGACTTCACTTGTCCCAGACATCCCTCTTTTGCCATCCTTGGTTCCCCGAGGTGCCTAGGAAGGCCTTTCTTGTGGGGAGTTGAGGGTAGATGTGAGTATGGAGGCCCAGTCATAACTGGGAGGTGGCAGGGCAGAGCAGGCAAGATGAAGTGTGCCATTTGCTTGCCTGCCAGCCGCCAGCCGTGCCCTGCCCTCTCTCCCCTGAGGCAGGTGATTTTCACAAATGGGTTGGCAGTAATTGCAGCCAAGGTGGGGCAGAGAAAAGCAGCCGCTGGGCTGGGCCTTTGAGTGCCACGTGCTGGGGTGTGGTGCCCACACCTGCCCAGTCGACTGGCTTGGGCTTCCCCGGGCAAGAGCTGGGATCAGGCCCAGGCCTGCTTCAGGGCTTGGCACGGGGCCAGGCTGCTGGCTACACACAGGTAGCCTGGCGCCGGCCTGGCCCCTTGCCATCTTGCCCCATGGCTCTGTTTACAGGAAGAGCTGGACATCCGCCCAAAAGTATCGTCTCTTCTGGGCAAGCTCGTCAGCTACACCAACCTCACCCAGGGCGCCAAGGAGCATGAGGAGGCTGAGAGTGGGGAAGGCCCCCGCCGGAGGGCAGCTGAGGTGAGTTGGTCGGGGCAGCAGAGGGGCCACACCTGGAAAGACAGACCCAACACCATGGAATTGGCTGTTTCCCCACGTGGTGGTGAGCACGCCAGGGAAGTGGGTGCAGGTGCGGTGAGCATGGAGGATGGGCACTCAGTACCGTGGCTCAAGGAGGCTTCAAGAGGTGTGGGCTACTGAGGAGCTCCTGGTGGGGTGGGGAAGAGGACCAAGGAGGCCCTCAAAAATGACAGCTGGGCACTATGGCTCATGCCTGTAATCCCAGCACTTTGGGATGCCAAGGCAGGAGGATTACTTGAAGTCAGGAGTTCGAGATCAGCCTGGGCAACATAGCAAGGCCCTGTCTCTACAAAAAAATTAAAAATCTAGCCAGGTATGATGGTGTGTGCCTGTAGTCACAGCTACTCCAGAGGTTAAGCCCAGGAATTCAAGGTTACAGTGAGCTTTGATCGTGCCACTGCACTCCAGCCTCGATGACAGAGCAAGACCGTGTCTCTTAAAAAAAATAGGGCCAGGCGTGGTGGCTCACACCTGTAATCCTAGCACTCTGGGAGGCCGAGGTGGGAGGATCACTCAAGGTCAGCACTCTGGGAGGCTAAGATGGGGGGATTGCTTGAGGTCTGAAGTTTGAGACCGGCCAGATCAAGAGTGAGACCCCGTCTCCACTAAAAATAGAAAAAATTAGCTGGGCGCGGTACTGCACGCCTGTAGTCCCAGCTACTCAGGAGGCTGAGGCAGGAGGATCACTTGAGCCCAGGAGTTTGAGGTTCTTGTGAGCTAGGCTGATGCCATGGCACTCTAGCCCAGGCAATAGAGAGTGACTCTGTTTAAAAAAAAAAAAGAGGAAGAACTTGCCTGAGGTGGCTGAGCTAGATGAAATCAGTGCGTAATGCTAATGCTGGGAGACACAGTTGTGAGATGTGTCACTATGTAGAAGGCCAGATCACTGGCATCGCATCAGTGTGGATGAAGGTGTTGCCTTTGCAGCCAGGAACCTAGTTGTCCCTTGGAGGCCATGAAATCTAGAGCAAATGACAAACCCTCCTGCCATTTTCTGTGTTAGCCCAAGGCACCACAGTCTGAAGACCCCTCCAGCAGCCCCTGGGCTCCAGGGGGACATGTATGTGTGCTTGGAGCCTGGCACTGCCTGGTGTGGCTTCTTGTCCTCTCTCCTGGTCCCATCACCTGCTCACCATCCAGTCTTCTCTTTAGGGTGACTTTTGCCTCTTTGCCCAGCTTTCTCTGTTTGCTGGGAATCAGGTTAGCTGAGGGCTGGTGATTTTTCTGCAGTTTTGATTTGGAGGCAAGGGACCCTCCATGAGGTTTATTTATTTGTTTATTTTTTTATCTTCAAATAGAATAGACTATAGTGACCCCCATGAGGTTCAGGGAGCAGCTGTGTTTTAGAAGGAGCTGAGGGCTGGAGCTTTCTTCTTGAAGGTCAGCAGGAGCTGAAGGTGCTCCTGGTTGGGATAAGCCAGGCCTCCAGCCTCAGACCTGTTTGTGAGATTTGGGCCTTGATGGAGTGGGCACAGGAGCGAGGGTAGTCTCAGCTGAAGTGCACCTTTCACCTTGCCCTTCTGGGTGGCAAGCCAGCCCATGCTTCAGAGAGGGCACCTGACATCTTGAGGTCACACAGACCCAACCCCCTAACCCTATCTGGCTGGCTATGATTTTGCTGGCATGTTCTGGACTGCAGATAGCAGAGAACCCTGACTGGCTCCTCTGTCCTAGCCAGCATTGCAGGGGCATCTCAACTTCTCAGAGTGTTGCCCATCGTGGGAGAAGGGCCCTTAGGTAAGAGCTTCATCCCTGTCCCTTCAGGCCAAGCTGCCAAAAAGGAGTTGGTAGCTGGGAGTGACAAGGCCCCTAAGAGAGGCTAGCGCACATCTCAGCAGGAGGGGGAAGGAAACCTGGGTTGGTGAAGGGCCATGGTCCCTTGGCCTAATGGGCAGCCTGTGAGGATGCTGGGTCCAGCCTCTAGTTACCTACTGTGCTCACCTGACCATAGGGGAAGGATCTGAGAGGGGGGTGGGTGTCCCAGCTCCAGTGGCTTTTCCCTGGAGGAAGCAGCAGCCTGGTCAAGTGCACAGGAAGTGGGTAGGAAGCTAGGGCTCTGGGGCTGCTTAGCTGTGGTGCTCACCCAGGGCAGGTCTGAGCGGAGACCTCAGGAAAGGAAGGCTTGAGGCAGGAAGTGTGGGCCTCCAGCCAGACCATTTTAAGGCCCAAGGGCAGCCTCTCCCTTGCAGCCACTCCAGCTCTGGCCCGGACCTTCGGAGGCTGCCAGAAGTTATTTGGGGATACAGAAACCATTTCCGGCCCTGCCCTTTCCCACACTGCCCTTTTCTCAGAATGACTCAGCCTAGGCTGGGGGTGGGACTGGGAGCTCTTGTTGCCGCTATGCAGTGGGTGGTATCATCTGAGAAGGGCTCAGACAGAGCCCTGGTGGGATGTATCTGTCTCCTACACTGCACTGTGCAAGACAGGTCAAGGAACTGTTTTGACTTGCCCAGGCTCTTCTGAGGTCCTTTAGGCCAGCAGTCCCCAACCTTTTGCCACCAGGGCCCAGTTTCATAGAAGACAGTTTTTTCATGGACCTGGGTGGTGGAGGGGGGCAGAGGGGGTACAGAGCTCAGGCAGTGATTCCAGCAATGGGGAGCAGCTGTAAATATAGATGAAGCTTCGCTTGCTCACCTGTTGCTTACCTCCTGCTGTGCGCAACCCCCCCCCACACACACACACACCATTTGTAAATTTCATGGGTGAAATTTTTCCACACAGCTTTAGGCCACACACAGTTTCTGCCCCCTAGGCCAGGATCCTACAGAAGGTTCCTATGGCTGTGTAGTTCTCTCCCCACCCCAGCGTCAGGGCAGCAGGAGGCTTCACTGGGGCTCCAGTGGAAGCTCTCAGGGCCACTCTGCCCTGGGTGATATTCAGTTCTTTAAGAAGACACCAGCCTGCCTCTGTGCTCTCAGCCTCTGCCCTGGCCCCTGCTCTGCCCTTATATAGTTGAGAAATCCTGCCTGGGTCTGCACATTAGACCTTCCTCGCCTGCCCTACAGCCTGAGTCCCCTTGCTGCAGGAGTTTCCCAACAGGATGTCCCAGGGCCTTCCAAGGCACCACTCACTGGGTTGAAAACCTTTCAGGCACTTGCAGTGCCTGCGGTGATAGAACAGTAAACAAGCCAAGTCTACCCAGTATGGTCACGAGACATACATGTAAACAGTCCGTTACCATGACCTGTGGTGGCCACTCTAGTAGAAGGCTGTATCAGATGCTGAGGGAATGCAAGAAGGAGTACCAGCTCCACCTTAGGCAGCCCAGAGAACTTCCTGGAAGAGGTAACAGTTAAATCTCCTGTAGGTTTCACTGGAGAGGAGTTTGCCAGGTTGTGAGGCAAAGCTGATGCCCCAGGTAGAGTCCAACACATTCCCAGGTTCAGAGAATCTGAGGGCCCTATGTGGTCAGGGACTGGGGCTAACAAGGGAGGTGATGGGACATGTCTGGTGGCCCAAGCCAGGAGTCTGGGCCATACACTAGATTATAGCACAATGCAGAGGGTTTTCGGGTCAGATGATGAGATTGGACTTGGTTTTCAGAGACCTGCGCTGACAGCAGAGTGGGTTGGAATGTGTGGAGAGGTTGACAGGCACCGGAGGGCACCACCCAGGTGCCCAGGTGTACTGTCCCAGCTTCAAGGGACTAAGGCTGGGACAAGGCAAGCTGGTCTTAGGGCAGTAGGGAGGCAGACTGGGTAGGAGTCAGTGTCCACTTGGACCAGAGTGGGAAGAGGGAGAGCCAGAGGTGACATCTTGGACTTTTGCTTGGGTGACTTGGGGCCTGCTGGCTGAAAAGGTAGAGATCTGAGACAGATTGCTCTTTCAGAAGTTTAACAAGAGAGAGGAAGATTAGGAGGCAGTACCTCGGGTGGAGTTAAGATTCAAAAGTTCACACATGAGATTTCAAAAAGAATCAGATTTTACACCTCTCCAGTCGTAACTGTCGTCTTATGTGAAAGTCAGTAGAGACATCCTAGCTCTCACCCCCACCTCCTGTGTTCCCCAGAACCCCACTGAGTGTGAGGGGCTGCTGAGTGTCTAGGGCCGGGCCCCTCTGATGCTCTGTGCACCCCTCCCCTGATTCCTCCATAGGCACCCAGCATGGGCACCCTCATGGGGGTGTACCTGCCCTGCCTGCAGAATATCTTCGGGGTTATCCTGTTCCTGCGGCTGACCTGGATGGTGGGCACGGCCGGGGTGCTGCAGGCCCTCCTCATCGTGCTCATCTGCTGCTGCTGTGTGAGTGTCCCGACAGGGGCAGGGGTGGGCTGGGCACATTCCATGGCCACCTGCAGAGCCCACCCAGCTGGGCTGCTGACCCAGACCCTCCTTCCTACAGACCCTGCTGACAGCCATTTCCATGAGCGCCATCGCCACCAATGGTGTCGTTCCAGGTGGGTGAGTGCCACCCAAGGCCTGGTGGGGGGAACAGGGCCCAGAATCCACTTTGATCTGCCTGGGAACCCACATGGCTCACCCCTGTGCGCCAAGCAGTTCTCTGGTGGTCCCAGTCCCTGACTCTAGGACATTGCCACCACTTAGGAGCTTCCCTGCTTGACAGTGTTTGAGACTGCTATTGTGTTTTGTTTCATTAGTATAGAAGTAATACCAAAAAAAAGGCAATGTATGTTTACCATAAGAGTGTTTGAAAATACAGGAAAATGCAGAATGGAAAATTGAGGCTGGGTGTGGTGGTGTACCCCTGTCGTCCCAGCTACTCAGGAGGCTGAGGCAGGAGGATCGCTTGAGCCCAGGAGTTGGAGGTTGCAGTGAGCTATTGTGATACCACTGTACTCTAGCCCAGGTGACAGAGTGAGACTTTGTCTCATTAAAAAAAAAAAAAAAAGCATCTGTAAACCCACCACCCTGAGTTCATTACTATTTACCTTCTAGGATGTGGTCACAGAGTCTTATAAAGCATTGGGCACACAGTTGCACACAAGTGCACTCTTTTTCTTGTATATGTATATATGTATGTGTATATATATATACATACATGGATATATTATATATATCACATATTATATATATGAATATATAATACATATTCGTATTTCCCAAATATGTGTATATATACACATATGCATATGCATCCATATGTATATATTTATGTTTGTGTTTCCCAAATATTGGAAAGTTTTTTTTTTTTTAAAGCAGGATTCTTCCATAGTAAACTACAACCTAATTTATATGATTATCCTCCTACTTGTGGGTTCTACTTTGTCACTCTCGTAAACATTGTCATGAACGGCCTCACACAAATCTCTGTTCACGCCCCTGGCAGTTCCCTTAGGAGAGGGTCCTAGCAGTGGGAGAACAGCATGAAAGGGATTGATCATATTTTAAATTTCTTGATCCCTGTTCCCAGATAAAACTTCCCAGAGAAGTTTTATCAGGAGCAGATACAACCAACAACATGGGATCACTGTTGTCTCCCTATGCTGGCCACCCTGGGGCCCAGTGTTGGCTCTGACTCTTGCCAGGGGTGTTAGACTCTGACAGAAGCACAGACTCAGAGCAAGAGGGTCAGCTATGACTGCTCAGCTGGTGGCAGGCCCTGGGGGCCAAAGACAGGACAAGACGCAGTCGCTGCTCTGGTCTGGAGGGGTTAGACTAATAAAGGCGTGGGCCTCTGGGGAGGGGGAGGTGTGCTGAGATAGGACACACCTACCCAGAGGAGGCTGTCGGGACTGCCCTGAGTGCAGGGAGTTGGAGGACAGTGGCTGCTCAGTCACTGCTGCGGACCTAGAGCTGCCCTAGCAAAGTAGTCATTTCACTGGCCTGTGCTGGACGTTCTTGTCATATGGGAATGGTCCAAAGCCAGCCGTGCAGCCTCTTTCATCTGTAAATGGGAAAAGCAGTCCCTGTCCCACCAGGCGGGGTGAGGGCCTGTCATGGGGAGATCCCCTTGACGAACCACCCTTGATCCATGTGTACTTTTCCTTTCTCTGCTATAGCCGGGGGCTCCTATTTCATGATTTCCCGCTCACTGGGGCCAGAATTTGGAGGCGCTGTGGGCCTGTGCTTCTACCTGGGAACTACATTTGCGGCAGCCATGTACATCCTGGGGGCCATCGAGATCTTGCTGGTGAGTCCGGCTAAGCCCTGGCCATGTCAGATTGTGTCCAAACAGTCCCTTTGGACTCCAAACAAAAGGCCCAGGTGGTTCATGTCCCTGGCACCTCTGGCCAAGGCCTGGGGGTTATAAAGCGGAGGCCTCAAAGGAGAAAGACCTTTGCTCAGACCAGTCTGCCTTTCACCTCCTCGCCAGTTTGGGCCAGGCAGGGAAGGGGCCTGGCTGCCTTTGCCTTGGCCCTGGATGTTCCACCTACCTGGGCACTGTTTTGGCCATGGCAGGGGGTCCGTGCACTGTTGCACTTAGGTCAGTGACAGATCTTGGTGGTGACACAGAGACTGCCTCCTGGGCTTGTGTGGGCTCTGGGTAGCTCTGTCTCCCCCAGGGCTCTGTGCTTCAGATCTAGCTTCTCCTTGTCACTGAGTCAGAGTGAGTAACCACAGGACCCTGTCTGGAGGCCAGTGCTCCCTCCGTGAGCCACACGGGTGCTCTCAGACTCAGATCCTCAATTCCCCTGAATGCCCCGGCCAGTGGGAGCAGAGGTAGAGGGGCTGTGGAAGGCACAGGGTGACAGGTGCCCACCCCTCCCTTGGCTATTCCAACATTGCAAGTCCTGTACCTGTAGTACAGATCTTGTGCCAGGATTTTCTGATTTGGGGGAGGGTTTTTTGTATTTGTATTCTATTTCTCATATTCCTTGCACTTTTATTATTAGGGATTCTTCTGTAGGAAAAATTTGTCCCTTCCCCCCATTTATTTTTTTCTTCAACCATGTAATTATATCTGTACAGACTTCTAGATATTTATTCTTTGGGTTGTAATACAATACTGTCATCATTTCTTTTGCTCAAACTCTTCCACTGTGGCTATGCAGCCATTGAGATTGGCACCTGCATCTGGATCCTTTTGCATTTGTTTGTTTTCGAATAACAGCTTAATTAAGATATAATTTACGTTCCATGCAATTCTCTACTCATTGAAAATGTACAATTCAGTGGTTTTTAGTATATTCCCATAGTTGTGCAACCATCACCACAATCAATTTTAGAAGATTTTCATGCGTCCCAAACGAAACCCCATCAGTAGTCATTCTCCCTTCCCTCCCAGCCCTAGCAACCACTGATCTGATTTTTGTCTCTATGGATTTGCCTATTCTGGACATTTCATATAAACGAAATCATATAATATGTGGTCTTTTATGACTGGCTTCTTTTACATATGCTTTTAAAAAGAAAAACCAAAATGACAGGTTTTGCTGTCCAAATAGGAAGGTCAAACCCTTTCTGTCTGTCATCTTGTTTTAGACCTACATTGCCCCACCGGCTGCCATTTTTTACCCGTCCGGTGCTCATGACACGTCGAGTGCCACCTTGAACAATATGCGCGTGTATGGGACCATTTTCCTGACCTTCATGACCCTGGTGGTATTTGTTGGTGTCAAGTACGTGAACAAATTTGCCTCGCTCTTCCTGGCCTGTGTGATCATCTCCATCCTTTCCATCTACGCTGGGGGCATCAAGTCTATTTTTGACCCTCCTGTGTTTCCGTAAGTGACCCATAAATTTGTCCAGGTATTGCACTGATGTCCCTCCTGTGCAGACAGCCTTTGATGCCCTGAGTCCCGGAGACTTCAGGGTGGGAACAGGCTGGGGCCTCCAGCTGAGCAGGTGCCAATGCTTTTGTCCCCCACAGAGTATGCATGTTGGGCAACAGGACCCTCTCCCGGGACCAGTTTGACATCTGTGCCAAGACAACCATGGTGGACAATGAGACAGTGGCCACCCGGCTATGGAATTTCTTCTGCCACGGCCCCAACCTTACCACTGAATCCTGCGACCCCTACTTTCTGCTCAACAATGTGACCGAGATCCCTGGCATTCCTGGGGCAGCTGCTGGTGTGCTCCAAGGTGGGTCCTCCCTCTCTTCCTTCTGCTCCTGAGTGCACAGGCCAAGCAGGAGAGCAGAGCACAGAGCTGTCCTTGTGTGTCCAGCTCAGAAATAGGGAGCAGTTCCTGGCTGCCTTCCCAGCCCAGCAGTGTCCCCTCGGTCTGGCTCCTGGCGGCCGAGCTTTGGGTGAGCAGAGCCTGTTTGGCCAGCGTCCCAGACCTGCAGCAGTCTCCAGAAAGTGCTGGCAGCCCCTCTCCCCCCGGCCACCAACCCCTGATGCTGCCTGGGGATGTTCCCACACGAGCCATAAAGGGCCTCTGTCTGGAAGGCAGGCAGTGGAGGGGCTCTGGCTGGTAGTGGTCTGGCCACCTTTGTCTGCCAGACTTCTAGCCAGCAATCTCCTTGCCATTGGCCACAGCAGCCTGGGGCTGACACTGCAGCCATTGCGCTGGAGCTAACCCAAGTCCCCAGCATCTGCACCTAAATTGCTGGGGGCCGTAGGTGGGGCCATGGTGGTGATACTGCTGCCCTTACAGAAAACCTGTGGAGCGCCTACCTGGAGAAGGGCGAGGTGGTGGAGAAGCACGGGCTGCCCTCCACAGACGCCCTGGGCCTGAAGGAGAGCCTGCCCCTGTACGTGGTGGCTGACATCGCCACATCCTTCACCGTGCTGGTTGGCATCTTCTTCCCGTCAGTAACAGGTGAGCCCCTCTGCCCACCCAGCCAGCCTTGCCCCCAAACCCGGGGAGTCCCTAAGGGAGTCCCTAAGGGAGTCTTGTCTGTTTTTGGAGGCATCATGGCTGGCTCAAACCGCTCTGGGGACCTCCGCGACGCCCAGAAGTCCATCCCAGTGGGGACCATTTTGGCCATCATTACAACCTCCCTCGTGTGTATCCTTTCCCAGGCCTAGGGCGGGGGGACCGGGAACAGGAGGCACCTGCCTGTGTGTGAGTTCCAGCCGGTAGGCACAGGCACGCCACACAGGCATGCATGCGTATATACACGCACACTCGAGGGACACACACGTACACACCATGAAACCCTCAGCTGTAAGTGTCCCATCTGAGTCTGCTGGCTCAGACTGGGACAGCCATGCGTAGAAGCCTTGCTTTCCTTGACTCCACCGCAGACTTCAGCAGTGTGGTTCTCTTTGGCGCCTGCATCGAGGGTGTGGTTCTCCGGGACAAGTGAGTGAGCTGGGCCCCTCCCTGTAGCAGTGGCTCAGCTTTGCCCGAGCTCATGCATGGTCCCACACATGTCCTCAGGCTGCTGGCTGCCAGTGGTGGTCCATGCCACCAGGTGGGTCAGACTCCTAGAAGACTTTTGCTTCTGAGAGGATGGTGACACCACGATCAGGGCTGGGCTGAGGGGGAAGGACAGGTCTGGTGGACTGGCCCTCTCTGCTGAGGGGCCAGAGTGCTGCCCACTGGAGACTGCCTTCCTGACCCGACATCCTTTGCTCTGGGCCGCCCCTGCAGGTACGGTGACGGCGTCAGCAGGAACTTGGTGGTGGGCACATTGGCCTGGCCTTCGCCCTGGGTCATCGTCATCGGCTCCTTCTTTTCAACTTGTGGAGCTGGCCTCCAGAGCCTCACAGGGGCACCACGCCTCTTGCAGGCCATTGCCAAGGACAACATCATCCCCTTCCTCCGGGTGAGCCCTGCATTCCTCCACAGCCTGGCTACTACTGGGTCCCTCACCCAGCCTGGGGGGAGAGAGAATACAGATGCGCATATCTCCCCACGGTGGCCCCAGGCCATGCAGCCAGCCACGGGGAGCTGCCCAGACCCTGGCCCTGCTATGCTGTTGGGAGAGCTGCTTGGACCCACAACCCATGGCCTGTTTATAGCTCACCCAAAGCAGAGAGGCCAAGCCAGGGAGACTGTGGTCCCGTATGGATAGGCCTGGGTGTGGCCTGAGTCCCAGAGGACGGCTTTGGTGGTGATGGCGGCCAGACTGTCCCTTGGGGCCTGGGGTGTGGAATGAAGGTGCTAGGACCAGCTTCTTCTCTGACACACACAGGTGTTTGGCCACGGGAAGGCCAATGGCGAACCCACGTGGGCACTCCTCCTGACCGCACTCATCGCCGAGCTCGGCATCCTTATCGCCTCCCTCGACATGGTGGCCCCCATTCTGTCCATGTGAGCTTGGGAGCCGGAGCAGGGCAGGGGGGTGGTCTTGGGAAAGGCTCCCTGGACCCCAGCACCTTCCTGTGACCCTGTCTGGTGCCGAGGGTGCAGCGGGGAGATGTAGCAGCTGCCTGGGGAGTTGTTGCCTGGCACCTACGCAGGAGCTGTAAAGAGACCAACAGGTCCCACTCCCCTCTAGTAGAGTTCCCAAAGCAGGTAGCCAGCGGACCTCCACCCCGGGCAGGGTAAGCACCAGGTCCCTCGTGCCTTGATGAAGCCATCGCTGCCCCGTCCATTTTCAAAATCATTTGCTTTCATTGTTCTGGAATCATCTGGGCAAATCAGTGTGCCAGAGCCTTGCAGGCAGTGGTCAGCATGTGGTGATTTCTGGGGCCCCCGAGGCAGAGCTTGCTTGGTTGCTGTGTCACCTCTGCCCTGCCGGGGTCCTTGCACACCCTGCTCCGGGGTGGGCGCTCCTCTTGCTTGCACAGTTGTGAATGGCCACCCCCTTTTTCTGCCCTTCTCTGGCCCCAGACTGTCAGGACCCCTTTTCCCCCTGCAGCCTCCATCCCAGCTACAGCCAGGCCTGTGCTCTCTTGGCCTCCTCAGCTCACCCACCCCTCACATAAATCCATGCCTGAAACTGTTCTTGCCACAGTCATCTCGAGTGGTGGCCCCCCTTGGCCACGCCAGAAGGCATAGCTCAGCCTGTCTATCCTGTGGCTCTAGCTAGCAGCCCTGTCCCGTGGGTCCTCCTGCCATCTGCAGGTGAAGGTTGGTGCCCCCTCCCTTAGCTCTCTGCTCCTCAGCTACCTTCCCAGGGGGCTTGTGCAACCAGCCTTGTCCATGTCCCAGACTCTCACGCCCACCGTAGCGTCTCCCAAGTGTCTGATTCGGTGCATTCGAATGATTCTGGTCATCTTCTCCCGACGTGTTCCTCCTCCCCACTTGCGTGACAGCCCCTCGTGCACTTGGTCACCCAGGCCAGAGACCTGAGTATGTGTAGCCAGCTCCAGACATAGCACTTCCTGCCACTCTGGGCACCATCCCCCTCCCCCTGCTGTTCCTATCTCCACTGCCACCTGGCCCTGAAGACACCTTCTCTGCAGTGGGCCACTGCCTCAGGCCGTGGAAGCAGGTGCTGTGGGCTTAAGATGACCTGGCTGAGCCCATGCAGGGCAGGGCTGTGGGGAAGCTCAGTTTCGTGTCCAGGCCCAGCTGGAAACCAGGTCCCTGGTGGCCAAGGAGGTGTCTGTGCCAACCGCCTCCCTGTGCTGCAGGTTCTTTCTCATGTGCTACCTGTTTGTGAACCTGGCCTGTGCCGTGCAGACGCTCCTGAGGACCCCCAACTGGCGGCCCCGGTTCAAGTACTATCACTGGTGAGTACGCACTGGACCCTGAGCCAAGCCCTCTGACACAAGAGATACTGGGGACTCCAGGAGCCTCATTCTGCATGAGGTTTGGGTTTCTGGGTGGTCCTTGTCTTGGGAGGAAGAAGGTAAGGCTGGGGGGGTGACCTGGGGCCCTACTGGTCTTGCCCTGATTCTGAACCCCCCTCTGGCCCAGGGCGCTGTCTTTCCTGGGCATGAGCCTCTGCCTGGCCCTCATGTTTGTCTCCTCCTGGTACTATGCTCTGGTTGCCATGCTCATCGCGGGCATGATCTACAAGTACATCGAGTACCAAGGGTGAGTTAAGGGCTGCTGCGTGGCCTCTGCCAGCAGCTTGTACAGCGCTGAGGGTGCCTAGCTGAGCAAGTGGGGTGGTCTGAATGTTGGGGTGGTGGGAGCTGGGCCATCCTTTGCTAGCGACCATGGGTGCTCCCATGGGACTGGGAGGCTGTGAGACTCAGGGCGCCCAAGAGGATTTCTCATTCACATAGACAGAAACCCCTGGGTGGGACTAGGGGCTCACCAGCTGTGGTGGCATCTGCAGGGCTGAGAAGGAGTGGGGTGATGGGATCCGAGGCCTGTCTCTGAGCGCTGCCCGCTATGCACTGCTGCGGCTTGAGGAGGGGCCCCCTCACACGAAGAACTGGCGGTGAGTTGACACTCAGACGCCACCAAGGGCCATCTCAGGGTTCTTGGGAGTGGGAGGGTCAGGAAGTGCCGGTTCCCCCTCCTAGTCCAAGGTCCCCATCCTGGGGCTGCTGGGGCACCCTCCCGCTTGTGGATCCATGCTATCCAAACCTGTGGGGACCCATGATCCATGGAGGAGGAGGAGGGGCTCTCTGGAGGCATCTGGCCCTGGTCTCAGGCTGCCTCCCCGTCTGGCCCCGCAGGCCTCAGCTCCTGGTGCTGCTGAAGCTAGACGAGGACCTTCACGTGAAGTACCCACGGCTCCTCACCTTTGCCTCCCAGCTTAAGGCCGGCAAGGGCCTGACAATTGTTGGTTCTGTCATCCAGGGCAGCTTCCTGGAGAGCTACGGCGAGGCCCAGGCCGCCGAGCAGGTGCCTGTCACAGGGGGTGGGAGCCGAGCCAGACCAGAGGTGTCTGGGCTACAGCTGGCACATAGGGGAGGGGACCAATCCTAGCCAGCCAGGTGGACAGCACTGCTGCCACCTGAGAGGTGGAACAAGGGTGGTCTAGCTGTCCCAGCTTGAAAATGTGGCCTCTGGGTAGGCAGTTTGTCCCCATTTCCTCCCCCCGCTCCCACGTAGTTTTGTGTGCCAGGCACCCTGGGAGGGAGCCCAGAAAAGGAGGAGCTGACAGCCTTGCTTCTGACCTTGGGCACCCCCGCAGACGATCAAGAACATGATGGAGATTGAGAAAGTGAAAGGCTTCTGCCAGGTAGTGGTGGCCAACAAGGTGCGTGAGGGGCTGGCTCACCTCATCCAGTCTTGTGGCCTGGGCGGCATGAGGCACAACTCCGTGGTGCTGGGGTGGCCCTACGGCTGGCGACAGAGTGAGGACCCACGTGCCTGGAAGACCTTTATTGGTATGTGACGGGCTGGTGCCTGGGCTGGGCCAGGGGTCCGATGAGGTGGCCGAGGCCAGAAGGCCACAGACTGGTGGTCAGCAGTGCCCCTCGTCCCCAGACACTGTGCGCTGCACTACAGCTGCCCACCTGGCCCTGCTCGTGCCCAAGAACATCGCCTTCTACCCCAGCAACCACGAGCGCTACCTGGAGGGCCACATCGACGTGTGGTGGATCGTGCATGACGGTGGCATGCTCATGCTTCTGCCTTTCCTGCTGCGCCAGCACAAGGTGGGCCAGGTGGCTGGGCGCAGGGGGCAGTGGCTGGGCCCTTGGTGGGGGCTGTGGCTGAACCAGCCACCTACCCCGTTGCCACAGGTTTGGAGGAAGTGTCGCATGCGCATCTTCACAGTGGCCCAGATGGACGACAACAGCATCCAGATGAAGAAGGACCTGGCCGTCTTCCTGTACCATCTCCGCCTTGAGGCGGAGGTGGAGGTGGTGGAGATGGTGAGCCGCCTGCCCTGACTGGGCCCTGTGGGTACCACGTCCCATGCAGCCCGGTCCTCACAGCCCGCCCTCTCCCCAGCACAATAGCGACATCTCTGCATATACCTACGAGCGGACCCTGATGATGGAGCAGCGGTCCCAGATGCTGCGGCAGATGCGGCTGACCAAGACTGAGCAGGAGCGAGAAGTCAGTGGCCTTCTGGGTTCAGGCCAGGGGTGGGTGCAGGGTCGGGCCTTTGGAGACACCATGGATGAGGGGGCATCAGAACAACTCACTCCAGCCCGACCCAAGCCATTGCCCCTTTCCCTGAGCAGGGTGGTCAGGGTGGGCCAGCCAGGGCCCTCCCCTTTTTCCCATGACACTGAGGCTACCTTCTCTGATTGTCCCTAGGCCCAGCTAGTCAAGGACCGGCACTCGGCCCTGCGGCTAGACAGCCTGTACTCAGATGAGGAAGACGAGACTGCAGCAGGGGCCGAGAAGATCCAGATGACATGGACCCGGGACAAGTACATGACTGAGCCCTGGGACCCCAGCCATGCCCCTGACAACTTCCGGGAGCTGGTGCACATTAAGCCGTGAGTGCAGCAAAAATGGGCCCAGCTATGCTGGGGTCTGGGGGTGAAGGTGGGTGGGCCAGGCACCCTCCTTGCAGGACTGTTCACCATGTGATCGGCTGCATTACCCACAGAGACCAATCCAACGTGCGGCGCATGCACACTGCTGTGAAGCTCAATGAAGTCATTGTCACACGCTCCCACGATGCCCGCCTGGTCCTACTGAACATGCCCGGCCCACCCAAGAACAGTGAGGGGGACGAGAACTGTATCCCTTTGCAGAGAGGCAGGCAATGGGGAGGTGGACCTTGTGTGAGGTCAGGCCAGAAGCCCTGGGTGCAGGTGGCCCAGGCTGCCCCAGCTCTGATCCATGGGGCACATTACCCTGGTCGCCCCTTGGTCTTGGTGCTGCCTCCTTGACCTGATGCCCTGCAGACATGGAGTTCCTCGAGGTGCTGACCGAGGGCCTTGAGCGGGTGCTGTTGGTGCGTGGTGGTGGCCGCGAAGTCATCACCATCTACTCCTGAGCCCAGTGTAGTCCTGTGGTGTGGAGTGGAAGTGTCCAGGGTAACAGTCCCTGCTTGCCCTGGACCCAGCTTTGAATCCGGGCGGGGCGGAGCAGTGGACATGGATCCGAGGTCCTTTGGGACCCTGGGAAGTTTGGGGACTTTCCATCCAGCATCCCAGTGTGCCTGCCCTGGCTGGAGAAGACTGGTGGGGGCTGGCTTGGGGGCAGCTGGTCCAGCCCAGGAGTGCTATTTATTGCATATTTATTGTTCGGATGTCACCATAGGAGAGGAAGGGAGGGGTAGCAAGAGAGAGGTCTAGCCCAGCTCGCCTGCAGGAAGACCTGGCTTGGGCTACTGTGGGCAGGGACCCCCACCATGCTGAGCTGAATGGAGCCGGCCAGCTGAGGCCTGACTTTTTCAATAAAACATTGTGTACTTCTGGGCCTCCTGCTGCCCTGGCTCTGTCTCCCTTGGCGGCAAGGGAAGAAGGCGGAACTGAACCCAGGCCCAGAGCCGGCTCCCGCAGCTGTGCCCTTTCCGGCAATCTCTGGCCACCCCCATGAGCCAGGCTGTCCCTCCCACTGGCCCTGGGGCCCCTCCTCCCCCCCTGCAGCAGATAAGCCGGCCCAGGACAGCTTAGTCTGGCAGCAGGCGCTAGGGCTGGGATGGGGCCGCCTGGCTCCCTGTGGCAGTGGGGGCTGCTGGTGGGGCTGCTGCTGCCCCCGGCCGCCCCGTTCTGGCTCCTCAATGTGCTCTTCCCCCCGCACACCACGCCCAAGGCTGAGCTCAATAACCACACACGGCCCGTCATTCTCGGTAAGCCCCCGCCAGGCCCCTGACGCACCAGGCCGGACCTTGGGAAGCCTGGGCCCCAGCGCCTGGTAACCAGCCCAACCAAGATCCTTCTGCCCCTGTAGTAGCCTGGATACCTGCCCCGGTGTGGGGAGGAGCCAAAGGCTTGTCCTGCAGGGAAGTTACCCTCTTCCCCCACCACACTGTTCCTGTGTCTCTGACTTGCCTGTCCCATGGGGGTGGATTGCGGCGTGGGGTGTGCCTGAGGTCTTGGCCAGGGCATTACAAGCTGCAGTCAGCTGCAGCCATGCTGGACCCTGGGCCAAGCCCCACCACTCCTCCTTTGGTCCCCATCCCACCAAGGACAGGATGCCCAGCCCAGGGCAAGAGAACAGGAGGGGTCCAACAAGGCCTGCCCCCACCTCCCCATACCTAGCTGCTGTCACCTTGGACTTTGGCAGCACTGGAGAGCGGGCTGGGTGTTTGCTTTGCACAGGCAGAGGTCAGTGGCCCTGGCCCCTGCACCTTCCCTTCCTGAGGGAAGTCTGGGCTTTGGGCTACTGGGGGCATTGTGGGGTGGGGGGTGTGGTCAGGAGAGCATGTGTGTCCTTTGTAGCTGGGGCTTGAGCATGATGGAGGGGTGGGGCTGGACCTGGCAGCATCGGGGGTTGGGGGCTAGGGGCCACGGGGAACCCAAGGAGTCCAGAGTGAGGGCTGGTGCTCGTAGTGCCTGGCTGCCTGGGGAATCAGCTAGAAGCCAAGCTGGATAAACCGGATGTGGTGAACTGGATGTGCTACCGCAAGACTGAAGACTTCTTCACCATCTGGCTGGATCTCAACATGTTTCTGCCCCTCGGAGTGGACTGCTGGATAGACAACACCAGGTATGTGCCATGTGTTCTGCCCTGGCCCCCACACACTGCCCCTTGATTAGTAGCTGCTGAATGTCCCACTGCCTTCAGGGTTGTCTACAACCGAAGCTCTGGGCTCCTGTCCAATGCCCCTGGTGTGCAGATCCGCGTCCCCGGCTTTGGCAAGACCTACTCTGTTGAGTACCTGGACACCAGCAAACTGGCAGGTGGGTATGCTGGGGGACAGGGCAAGGGCAGGCTGTGGTGGCCAGCAAGGCTGGCCCATAGGAGTCATGGCCAGAGCCCCCAATGCTGCTGCCTGCCCCCAGGTTACATGCACACGCTGGTGCAGAATCTAGTCAACAACGGCTACGTGCGGGACGAGACCGTGCGGGCCGCCCCCTATGACTGGCGGCTGGAGCCCAGTGAGTATCTCTGTGGATGACAGGCTAGGGGTGGGGACAGGTGACCCCTGACTCCAACTGCCCTGACCCCACCCACCCACCTGCAGGTCAGCAGGAGGAATACTACCGGAAGCTGGCCGGGCTGGTGGAGGAGATGCACACTGCTTACGGGAAGCCCGTTTTCCTCATCGGGCACAGCCTTGGCTGCATGCACTTGCTCTACTTCCTGCTGCAACAGCCCCAGTCCTGGAAGGACCGCTTTATCGATGGCTTCATCTCTCTTGGGGCTCCCTGGGGTGGCTCCATCAAGCCCATGCTGGTCTTGGCCTCAGGTGAGATGGCCACTTAGGTGCTGGGGTGGGGGTGGAATGAAGCTGGTCCCAGGCCTGCCCTCACCCCAGCTTCTGCTCACGATGGCCTCTACCATACCTGGAGTATGGCCACTGCCACTGGTCCCCCAGAGCAATGACCCTGGCCTGGGCTATTAAGATGGCTCCTTCCAGAGTCTGTGTCAGTGATGACAAAGGGGAAGTAAACACAGGAAGTGAACCCCAGCAATCTGACCCAAGGCTTGTTCCTCATGGCACCAGATCCCGCCTACTCAGCTTTCAGTTACGTTCTACTCCCAGGAGCCCCTTCACCCAAGGATCTGATTTAATGAGGAGGGATCTGCCAAAGCCAGGCCAGACCCTAGGAGCCCCTCCTGCCCTTCTTGGAGACTGGCATCAGGGACCCAGCACTGACATCACCTATTCGGCACGCCCTATATGCTGGGCACCGCCAGCTCAGCCTCCTTCCTAGGAGCCTAGCTCACAGTCTGGTGAGGGAACACTTAGCAGATCACTCCGTCAAAGTCAGACACAGACACCATCTCATTCCTCCCTTCCCAGAGCACAGCTCTGAGACCTGAGTAGCACAGGCCACACCCCAGAGCTGACATGCATGTGCCTGGGGACAACAGCTAGCACCACCCCCACTGTCCACACACCTGTATCCTCAGGAAGCCCACACTGCCCTCTGTCTCAAAAAGAAAAAAAAAGGGTCTTGCTTTGTTGCCCAGGCTAGAGTGAGTGCCGTGGTGTCAGCCTAGCTCACAGCAACCTCAAACTCCTGGGCTCAAGCAATCCTGCTGCCTCAGCCTTCCAAGTAGCTGGGACTACAGGCATGCGCCACCATGCCTGGCTAATTTTTTCTATATATATTAGTAGGCCAATTAATTTCGTCCTATTTATAGTAGAGACAGGGTCTCGCTCAGGCTGGTTTTGAACTCCTGACCTTGAGCAATCCACCTGCCTCGGCCTCCCAGAGTGCTAGGATTACAGGCGTGAGCCACTGCACTGCCCTCTTTTTGAGGCACTACAGCTTGGCCCTATAGAGATGCCATCAAGGCTTCACAATTAATAAGCCTTCACTGAGCACCTACTGAATTACCAGGCTTGTTCGAGTTTTATCACTTTGAGTCCATGTCTGGATTGGGCAGGTACAACATGAGCACCCAGCCAAGCTTACACAGGGGGGCAAGTTGTGGGCCAGGGGTAGCCAGGCCTGGCTCCCTATCCCACCTTGTTCCATGTCCACAGGTGACAACCAGGGCATCCCGATCATGTCCAGCATCAAGCTGAGAGAGGAGCAGCGCATAACGACGACTTCCCCGTGGATGTTTCCCTCTCCCATGGCCTGGCCTGAGGACCACGTGTTCATTTCCACACCCAGCTTCAACTACACAGGCCGTGATTTCCAGCGCTTCTTTGCAGACCTGCGCTTTGAGGAAGGCTGGTACATGTGGCTACAGACACGTGACCTGCTGAAAGGACTCCCAGCCCCTGGCGTGGAAGTATACTGTCTTTACGGCGTGGGCCTGCCCACGCCCCACACCTACATCTATGACCATGACTTCCCTTACACGGACCCTGTGGGTGTTCTCTATGAGGATGGTGATGACACAGTGGCCACACGCAGCTCTGAGCTCTGTGGCCGCTGGCAGGGCCTCCAGCCACAGCCTGTGCACCTGCTGCCCCTGCACGGGCTACAGCACCTCAACATGGTCTTCAGCAACCAGACGCTGGAGCACATCAATTCCATCCTGCTGGGTGCCTACCGCCGCGGTTCCCCTGAATCCCCCAGTGCCAGCCCAGAGCCCTTGCCCCCTGAATAAAGACCTGCCTTTGCTGCTATAAGTGCTGATGTGTGTTGGGGAAGGGGGAAGCACAGGATTCCCCACACCGGTTTCATGCATCACCAGCCACAAGTTCAATGCTCTGGGGCCCCCCTGAGACGTGCAGCTTCCCACTGTCTTGGGTGAGCTGTTTGGGCAGCCTACCCCATTCCTGCCTCTGCTGGTGGGAACCAGAACCGGTTGCACCCACAGCCACGCAATAGGGGCACAGGTAGGGGAAGATCTGTCCTCCCAGCACCCAAAAGGGCAAGTGAGACGGGGCCTTTGAGTGCGGGGTGAGTGACAGTTATCGATCATTTCATAATTATTAAAGAAGCTAAGTGCTCTCAGAAAGTTTAGCAAGCAGCAAGAGGCTGAGCCGTGTGGGTCAGGGGAGGCTTCCAGAGGATTGGTGCCTCTACTGAAGTCAGAAGGGTAACATGGGCCATTGGAAAGACACTTTGAGCTAAGAGCAGTGTGCAGCTGCTGATGGATTTTAACCAAGCAAAGACTGGGACTAGATTTCCAATCTAGAAGGACCCTCGTCCTGTAGGGTAGAATGTAGCCTGGTGGTGGGGGGATAGGAAGTGTGGGGTAACCAGGGAGGCCAGTGCAAATCCAGGTGGGAGAGAATGCTAACCAAGACTAGCAGTCTAGAAGAGAGATACATGCAGATAAGAGGTCACTGGGGGGGGGGGATGAAATAACAAGGCTTGGTTGGCCATGGGTAGAGCCCAGCATGCCTCCAGGCCACTAGATGGTCAGCCATGGTGCCCCTCTTGAAAGAGGGAAGATGGTGCCCGAGGTAGGGAAGAATGGAAGGACCAGCGTCATTGTGGCTAAGGAGCAAGCCTCAGTGTTTGAGGTTCCCGGGAGGAGGCAAAGGCAAGAGTTGGAAGATGTGACAAAGGACAAAAATCAACCATGCCCGATGCTGTTGGGGGGCCAGTAGCAATGTACAGACAGAGCCAATCATCTGACAGCTTTAGAGCATTTGGGACCAGAGGTTGGTTAGAGTTGGGGTAAGAGAGGTGGGGCTCAGACTGGAAGGGGAGGAGGAGCTGGCCAGAGGGAGAGGTGCTTCCCTCTGACCCAGGGTGCAGCATGGAGGGCCTAGCAAAGAACATCACCCTTTTCCCAACCTGCTCTGGATCAGAGGTGACCGTGAAAGTGAAAGAAAAGATGCAGAAAGCAGCCAGCACCTCTGAGGAAGGGTGAAGGCGAAAGTGAAAGCAGGAAGAACAGACGTGGAGCCCTGGAGAGGCTGAGTCGGAGGCCTTTCTTGCTCCCCGCAGACCCGTCTCATCTGACCGATCCATCGACCCCCTGATTGGCCCCTGCCCGCCCGACATGCTGAAGCCAGAGCTGGAGCCACGAGGGGGCTTCTCCTTTGAGAATTGCCAGAGGTGAAGGGGGGAGGGTTCGTCCTGAGCTGCATAGGCTTGGACGTGGGCCTTCTTCCTGGCTGGGGGTGGGGTGAGGGAGAGTGTGTTGGAAGACTTGGGTTCCAGGCTGACCCCCGGAGATGAAGGAGACTGGGACAGGGTCCGGGGATGCAACAGGAGTTTCAGAAGCAGAACTAAAACCCAGGCCTTTCCCCTCCGTTTCCAGAAATGCATCACTGGAACGCGTCCTCCCGGGGCTCAAGGTCCCTCATGCACGCAAGACCGGGACCACCATCGCGGGCCTTGTGTTCCGAGTAAGCACTGGGAAAGGACTGGCGGGCTAGAGGGGCGGCCGGAGGTATCCTGCGGGCACTTAGGCAGTGGCCCCTCCCATTCTCCAGGACGGGGTCATCCTTGGCGCAGATACGCGGGCCACTAACGATTCAGTTGTGGCGGACAAGAACTGTGAGAAGATCCACTTCATCGCCCCCAAAATCTAGTGAGAATCCCCCAACCCCATTCCTGCACAGAAGAAAAACCGTCCCCTCTTTCCCACCCCGGTCCAGTCCTCACACATCCTAGCCCTGCCCGCACCGATCCTCCCTTTGCCCTCAGCTGCTGTGGGGCTGGCGTGGCCGCCGACGCCGAGATGACCACACGAATGGTGGCGTCCAATATGGAGCTGCACGCGCTGTCCACGGGCCGCGAGCCCCGCGTCGCCACGGTCACCCGCATACTGCGCCAGACGCTCTTCCGGTGCGGGGACTCGGCTAAGTGACCCTGGGAGGGGCCATTGCGGGGCGGGCGGGGCTGACAGGCGGGACAGGGCGGAGCTGCGACGTGCCAGTAAACAGGAAGAGGCAGGCCTAAGAGAAGCTGGGCAACAGGAAGGGGCGTGGCTAGGATCCGGGGGGGCGGGGTCGTGGGGAGGCGGGGCCTGGGTCGGGTTCGCGGCCGACCACGCCCACTCACGAATAGGTACCAGGGCCACGTGGGTGCGTCGCTGATCGTGGGTGGCGTAGACCTGGCCGGACCGCAACTCTATGGCGTGCATCCCCACGGCTCCTACAGCCGTCTGCCCTTCACGGCCCTGGGTGAGCGCTACCACTCCTTCTCGAGCCCTCTCCCTGTGACCCTGGCCTCACGTTTGTCCCCCAGCCGGGGTGGCCAAAGCTGACCTCAGGTGTCCCTCCCGCCTGCAGGCTCCGGCCAGGACGCGGCCCTGGCGGTGCTGGAGGACCGCTTCCAGCCGAACATGACGGTGAGCAACCTTGACCCCCAGTACGTGGTCTCTGGTGGGCGGTGCATCCGGGAGCTGGAGGAGTGTAGAGGGACCCTGGCCCAGTATGGAGGTGGGGGAAGGTTTCTCAAGAGGTGACAAATGAGCAGTGAGTAGAGTGAGGGCGAACTGTGGTCCCAACAGACCACCGTCCAATACCAAAGCTCGGATGGCCGGGAGAAGTGGAAGGTCCCAAAAGGATCCTTTGGAGCCGACAGAGGAGGAAAAGGCGGGGGCTTCTGGATTTGGTTTGGGGTGATGGAAGGCTCCAGAGGTGGCTAAGGCTCAGAGAGACAAACCCACTGGGGGCTGAGGGGCAACACTAGATTGGGTGGGTGAACAGGCTGCTGGAAGGGGAGCCACGAGCGTAGGTGATTCTGGGAAGTTTGTAAAGAGCAATGGGCAGAGGGGACACCGGGTCTCAGGAGCGAGGGAGGCAGAGACCTAGGAGGGGAATCTGGGGTGGACAGGAGGGGTGTGAGCAAGTGGTGAATAGTCTGGGCTTCGAGATTGACAAACTGCCCAGACTGTAGCCTGAGTGACACCATAGGCCTCACATGCACATCACCATAGCTGGAGGCTGCACAGGGGCTGCTGGTGGAAGCCATCACCGCAGGGATCCTGGGTGACCTGGGTTCTGGGGGCAGCGTGGATGCATGTGTGATCACCGCGACTGGCGCTAAGCTTCTGCGGACACTGAGCTCACCCACCGAGCCCGTGAAGAGGTGGGAGCTGGGGAGATGGGGGACCACAGGGAAGGGTCGGGCATACCTGGGGAGATGGGGCTGCAAGAGGATGGGCCAGGCCACGTGATGGGCCCAAGTCGAATGGCTGCCCTTCCTCCCTCTCAGGTCCAGCTGCTACCACTTTGTGCCTGGAACCACAGCTGTCCTGACTCAAACAGTGAAGCCACTAAACCTGGAGCTACTGGAAGAAACTGTGCAAACTATGGAGGTGGAGTAAAGTAGGCTGGGGCTCAGACCTTGGAATAAACCCAGAAAATGCAAAAACCTGAACAGATGGCTGTGTCATTCTTGGGTGGAGTGGGGCAGGCAGCCAGCGGGGCTCTCTGATTGAGGTGTCCCTGCAGGGCCACCACTAAAGTGCCTGGCATAAGAGGTGCTCTTCACCTATCACCTCAGGCATCTACCCCTCCAGGACCCCAGCCCATCCAGTCTCCCCAAACCTCCCTTCTGACTCCAACCGAGGAGGCTCTCCCTCCCCCCCTTCCCCCTCCCTTGCCTCGCTCTCTAGTCCACTGGGGACGGCTGAAAACTCAAAGACTCCACGTACTGCCTCTCCCTAAAACCCTTCCCTGGCTCCTCTGTGGCCCAGGACAAAGCCCACACCTCTCAAGTCAGGCCCCCCAGGGGCCCCACCGAGGGCTAAAGTGCTGACAGAGGAGCTGCTCCCCAACTCCAAGGGCAAGTTCTCACCAAGTGCGCCTCGCCCCTGCAACGCTTAACCTGCGACGCTTCAGATGAGGAGGCTTACCTGGGCTGCGTACACGAAGCTGGGCACACGCCGGGCTGTGAAGTAGGGAGACTGACTCCAAGTTTTCTGCGCTGATGGGGTCATGGACTGTCGTAGGGAGAGATGGCATTTATCCAACAAGCCTTTGCTGAGCACCCACAGAGCGTCACACCCAGAGTACCCCGATAGCTGTGGGAGGCACTTCTGATCCCAGCCACCAGGTTGTTATTATAGACTTCATTTAACCATCTGTCTTTGGTACCCAGTGCTCAACTCTTAAAACGTGAGTGGTTCAGGGAGCCAATCAGAGGCCAGGCTTTGGAGGTGGAGGAGGTGAGAACCTCACACCTGTGCTCTGTCTGATAAGCCCAGGCCTGGGTGCGGGGACCTTGGCCTAAAGAGGCTCTATTGACTGGGGCATGGGAAGGGGCTGAGCACACACAGCTGGCCTGGCCATGGGCCCAGAACTTTAGCTCAAGGACAAGAAGTCCTATAAAGCCAGGTCCAGCTGTCGACCTCACACCTGCGACAATGCTGCCACTCAGCCTGACCCTTAGCCTGGTCTTCCTCGGCTCCTCCTGGGGTGAGTGGGCCTGGGCTAGGACCAGCCCCGGCTGAACAGCCCTGGGGACCCCCACTCCCAGCACCAGCCCAGGGGCCCTGGCTGGCTGGAAGGGATGCAGGTGGACAGAGTGGGCACAAGAAACGGGATGTGCCAGGGCAAGGGAGCAGGAATGGGCCCATGGGGCTGGGGTTGGGGGGGGGGCAAGAGGTGAGCCAGGGCCAGTCTCACAAATGGGACCAGAGCTTAAGCCAGTACCAGGAACCTGGGAGGGTTTAGGAAGCTGAGACAGGAAGGTTGGCCACATAGTTTAGGAATAACCCTCTGGCTGCATGAAGGGTTGAAACTGTCCAGGCCTGGAGGGAGCAGAGGCACTGGAAGAGACTATCCCAGGGTCAGGAGAAAGGGGGCCTGGGCCAGAGGGCTGGGGTGGAGATGTGGAACAGCGGGCACTAGGTTGGAAAGAAATGTGGAAGAAGCCAGGTGCCATGGCTCACCCCTATAATCCTAGCACTCTGGGAGGCGAGGCAGGAGCAAGGCTTGAGGTCAGGAGTTCAAGACCAGCCTGAGCAAGAGCGAGACCTTGTCTCTACTAAAAATAGAAAAATTAGCCGGGTACTCAGGAGGCTGAGGCAGGAGGATCACTTGAACCCAGGAATTTGAAGTTGCAGTGAGCTAGGCTGATGCCACTGTACTCTACCCAGGGCAAGAGAGCGAGGATCTGTCTCAAAAACAAGATGTGGAAGAATGGGCAGGATGTGGGGCTGGTTGAGTGGGGACAACTGAGATAGCCGTGCAGGTGCTCAGGGGGTATGAAGGGAAGGGGTAGTGCTGAGCCCTCTCGATTTGAACCTCTCTGGGGTGCACAGCCTGGGGACACCCCGGGCAAGGCGGTGGGGAAAGGTAGGCTGGGGTGTGGGGAGCAGGTTCTCACCAGTCCCATGGCTAGGCTGCGGCGTTCCTGCCATCAAACCGGCACTGAGCTTCAGCCAGAGGATTGTCAATGGGGAGAACGCAGTGCCAGGCTCCTGGCCCTGGCAGGTGTCCCTGCAGGTATGCATACCGTAGAGGTGGGGCAGAGTCCTGGGTGCTTCATGCCTAGGCGTAGCCTGAGCCCACCCCCACCCCTGACCCCAGGACAGCAGCGGCTTCCACTTCTGCGGTGGTTCTCTCATCAGCCAGTCCTGGGTGGTCACCGCTGCCCACTGCAATGTCAGGTGAGCACCTGCACTCCACCGGCCCTGCCCCAGCCCACCCCCGTCCCCTGATGCCCTTCCCTCCGCCCAGCCTGAGGCTGCCAGCCCCACTCTCTCCACAGCCCTGGCCGCCACTTTGTCGTCCTTGGCGAGTACGACCAATCCTCTAGTGCTGAGACTGTGCAGGTTCTGTCCATCTCGAGGGTGAGTGCCTGGGCGCAGGCAGGGAAGCAAGAGTGGGCAGTGTAGGTGGGTGGGCCCTGGCCTCCTCACTCAGCATCCAGCAACCCTGGGTGCCTGTGCCCAAGGCACCCCTACACAGCCTCCTCCTGGCCCCACAGGCCATCACGCACCCCAGCTGGAACCCCTCCACGATGAACAATGACCTGACGCTACTGAAGCTCGCCTCGCCAGCCAAGTACACAACACGCATCTCACCAGTCTGCCTGGCGTCCTCAAATGAGGTGCTGACCGCAGGCCTCACTTGTGTCACCACCGGCTGGGGCCGCCTCAGTGGCGTGGGTAGGAACTTGAGCCAAAGATCTGGGAGGGAGGGCTGGGGCGGGGATAAGCATCCTGGGCTGGCCTGACCACCGCTCTTGGCCGGCAGGCAACGTGACACCAGCACGTCTGCAGCAGGTGGCTCTGCCCCTGGTCACCGTGAATCAATGCCAGCAGTACTGGGGCTCACGTATCACGGACTCCATGATCTGTGCAGGGGGCTCAGGTGCCTCCTCGTGCCAGGTGAGCACCAGCACCCTGTCCTCTGCACTGTCCCATGGCACACCTCCCCAGCCCCCCACACTGCTCCCTTCTTCCCTCTCAGGGTGACTCCGGAGGCCCACTTGTCTGCCAGAAGGAAAACACGTGGGTGCTTATTGGAGTTGTGTCCTGGGGCAGCAGCAACTGCAATGTGCGTACACCTGCCATGTACACTCGGGTCAGCAAGTTCAACACATGGATCAACACGGTCATAGCCTCCAACTGAGCCCACCACAGCCCTCCTCCCCATCCCAATCTGATAAAGACCCTAGGCTGTGTCCTCTCGTGTATCCTTGTCTGTGCTGCTGGCTCAGGGGAAAGGACAGGCTCTTGAGGGTCCTACTCCGCACTCGGGCTTTGTCTTCTGGCATGGAAGGGGCTGAGGAGTCAGGCTCGTCCTAGAACAGCCCAGGCTGCGGCCCCCACCCCTCCTCCTCTGGGGCAGCCCCGTGGTCCTACAGCACGAAGCCAGGGCTGTCAGAACGAATAGGCACCTTCCCCGTGGAGGAGGCAGCCTGTTTATTGAATACAAAGGATACATTTACAAACTGAGTACACAAAATAAATAACTGCACATTCTCCGTCCATGGTCCATGGCATGAAGGGCCACGTGGGCCTATCAAAGGCCCAAGGCCCCAAACCCCCCCTGTCCTACCCTCAGGACCAGGACTACCCTGGGCAGAGAGGAAATAAATCTCCAGGGCTTCAGGCCCCCAGAGACACTTGGGGAGTTAGGGGCAAGTTCTGAGGCCATGGTGCTTGGATCTCCACTACCTCCTGCCCTGGGGGCAGTGGGGACGGAAGGAGCAGGTGGATAAGGCACAGTCGACTTGGCACACAGTGGTCTCTTTGGTTTGGTTTCCCACTGGAGGTGGCACATGTAGATAGAGGGCCTGGCCCAAGGGTGTCCACTGGGAGGAGCTGAGTGGGAGCCAAACCCCCCCCCCTTCTGGCAGGGGCCCTGCAGTCTAGCTAAGGCCAAAGCTGGGCCCTGGCCCCTTCCTACCCACTGAAAGCAGCTGTGGAAGAAGGGGGCTTGGCTTCCAGCCTGGTTTGTGGTAGGGGGAGACACCATGAGAGACATGGGGACAGTTCTGGCTCAGGTGGAAAAGCAGCCACCCAACCCCACCCACCTCCCGCAAGGGCTCCTCCAGCCTGAGGCTCAGCGGGGCCCAGACTGGAAGGTTAATGCTGTGAAAGGAAGCGGGCACAGGGCAGATGGGGCAAGGCCGGCTGTGAGAAGGCCAGTGCCCCAGCCACCCAGGGTTCAGAGGCAGGTCACAGAGTATGGCTAAGTTCCAGGGAGAGGTGCACAGAAGCTCAGCAGAAGGGTAGAGTTGAGCAGCCCAAGAGCCTCCCCCAACAGAGCAACTCCTTCCTTCCCTCTCCTCGGGGAGGACTATGGGTGCGCACAGTGCGTGTGCAGTGGTCACTCCCAGGCTGCTATACCCACGCCAGACACCAGATGGCGCCCTCGTGCAGTTGCGGAGGAGGGAACAGCAGAGCCTGAAGGGCTGGGCCGTGGGCTGTACCAGGGCTGACAATGGAATCCTAACGGGGAACTCCCTGTCCTCTGCCTTGGCCCCCAGGTGCCCCATCCCCCAGGTAGCAGCAGTGGGGGCTCCCTTTTCCCCCCACAGTAGGGAAGGAGTCACCTGGGGAATGGAATGGGCATCCAAAGGGAAGAGGGAGGCAATGGTGGATTCTGCTGAGAAAGCACTGAGGGTGGTGGGCTGGTGGGCAGGGACCTTCTCATGGTCAGAGAGAGGCTGGAGCCTGGGCAAGGCTGCCACCAGCCCCGCCACACAGTCCATGCCACGGTCCTACCACCAGAGGCCCTGGCAAGTCCTAGGGGCACCATGAAGGAAGACTGATCTCGGCTGGGAGAAGGGGGCCCTGTTTGGATCTAGCCAGGAGCTGAGGGTCCAGTCAAGGCACAGCTTTGTGCCTACCAGCGCCTCCCACTGAAGCCTGATTTAAGGACCAGGATGCCATGGAATATGGGGGCCAGGGAGGAAGGCTCTGCAGAGGAAACGGGTATTCCAGAAGTAACCATCACAGAGGGTCCTGGGGCCATGGGACACCCAGAATTGCAGCCCCTTTGGTCTGGGGAAGAGCCACAGGCTAAGGGACACAGTGAAGACCAGGGCCTGTCCTTTCCCCAACTCAGAGCAGATGCCCACCATCAGGAGTAGCAGTGCCAGGCCAGGCTCCTAGTTCAGGGAGGTCACAGCCCCTGGGCCACCTCTACTCTGTCACACCTGGCCCATGCCCATGGTGAGGACGGGGGCTGCTGAAGGCACAGAGGAGGGGCTGGGACCAGACATTCTTCGGCTCCCGCTAGCCATATCCGCACGGGCCTATCTCTAGAGAGGGTATCAGGCCAGACGGCACAGCCACGAGTGGCCAGGCTGGGACCGTGCCATGTCCGCACCCTAGCCAGGCGGCTCAGCCATTGTACTGCTGCTGGTAACGCAGGTTGAGTTCCCGCAGCTCCCGCTCCCGCACTCGGCGTGACTTGTTGGAGCGCGTCGAGCGGCTGGAACGCGTGGACTGGGCAGATTTGGTGCTCTGGCAGCGTGAGGAGGCACGTTTGAGGAGGTTCTGGGAGATGGAACGGTGCAGATTCTTCATGGATGAAGAGGCTGCCATGCTCACCACCCACGGGTGCCGCAGGGCCTGCAGTGCAGTCATACGGGCTCCAGGGTCCACTGTCAGCAGGCGGTCAATGAAGTCCTTGGCCAGGTTGGACACACTAGGCCATGGCTGAAGGCCAAGGACATGCATTAGAGTGAGAGCACTCAACACTGCCCACCCCATTTGGATGAGGCCACCACCACAGTATTCAGACACGCCCAGTGTCCTTGCACTACCCCCATAGAGAGACCCCCTCTCCCATGTGGCATTCTGGGGCTCCCCTCCCCACCCAATGCTGACCCAGCTGCTGAGCAGGGGCTGCTCTCTGGGTGATCAGGAGTCTGACAAGGAGAAAAAAGACCTGTCCCCTTTTCCCAGGGAGAAAACTTCTAAAGTGCACTGGACCCAAAGCCTGGCTCAGAGGTGGCTGCTGCCAAGACTCCCCAACCTATCCCAGGGCCACCATAACTCAGGGGGATTTAAAGAGAATGACTCAAATTTTTCCACCACATTCTGAGTCAGACTGAAGCTCCAATGCCTGGATTCCCAGATGAGGCCACTTAGAAGGGAACTTCCTAGTCCTTAAAGAGAGAGTCCAACCTCCCGCCAAGTGCTAACGCAGAGGTGGGAGACCACGGCATTCCCTGTCTCGGCCTCAGCCTCCCAGCATGGAGAGGGAAGGAAACAATTCGAGTCAACTGGATTTCTCAGTCTGCTGAGAGGGCAGGGGCTCCCGGGGCCCAGGACCTTCTTGGAGGCACTCTCTAGTCTGCAGGACTTCTCTAAGCCACAAAAGCCTCCTGGCAGTGGTGTAAGCCAGCCTCATTTTAGTTCCTTCTGTCCCAAGGGAGGAGCGCCACAAAGCTGGCTCTGTGACACGCATCCAGGGCTGCCGCATCTCAGCCACACGCAAAGTAGCTATCTGTCCCAGGCCTTGTGCTGCAGGCTGGTCTTAATCCTTAGGTCCTCAGGGTAAAAGACACTTGCTCAGGCTCCCTCTTAGCCCCCAGTGCTTATGTCAATTACTCCAGCTGCAATTTCAAGTTCATTATTCCCATTGACCCACAGTGAGCTGCACGAGCCCCAGTGCCTGATGCAGCACACGTAAGAGGTGCTCAGTAGGCACAGGCTCAGCAAGTCAACAACCTGTGTTTGCCAACTAATGAGTGCCCATTGCTGGAGCTGCTTCCAGGCCATGGGGCTCAGCCAGGTGGGGCCTTGAGGGCAGGCTCTGAGTCCCCGCCTCTCCTAGGAGCACTTCTGGCATCAGCTCAATGTTCCCCAAAGGGTGGGCAGCGAGGACCTTCCCTGAGCCTGCTGCATAGGGCTCAGCTGGGATGCCAGGGACCCTATCACTTTCCTCCCTGCTAGGTGAAGTCCACCTGTTCCACCACATGGTACCCTTCACCCAGGGGAAACCTGAACATACACTCCCGGGGGGCCTCAGAAAAAGTCTATGCACACACACTCAGGACAGCTGCATGGCCATATAGCCGATGCACACACCCACTGACTGTTGATCACGACGCAACCCCCATCTGGCTCCCTTGACCTCCAACTCTTCCCACAACCCTCTCCTCACTGCCACACAGGGGTGAGGTGGGAGGAACACGCATCTGGGGTTCTGAGGAAGGGTCGGGGCTGCTTACAGTTGCTGTCCTCGCCTGCCCCTCGGAAGGCAAATCTCAACTTTCAGAGAGAGCTGAACTGGAAGTGACAGGGGAACCACATTTCCAATTGGCTGCCTCACAGGGTCGTCCTTACCAGTGGGCCAGCTCCCGGTGGCTCCTGGGAGACTCTGGCCCTCAGGAGGAGGAAAGTCAGGGCCTCAAGAACAAGATCCCTTGCTGTCGGAACACGGTGTGGGGTACAAGAAGCAACAGTGCCCCCCTCAGGTAGGCGGGTCCATGTTTCCCTGCGGGCCTGCAGCACACGCCTCTGGTATTGAGGCCGAAATGTAGGGCGACTGGATTAAACAGTTGCTCCAACAGCTTTTAGCTCACAGCTCAAGAAGACCCCATAGCTTGCTGCTGTCCCCTGTCCTGCCCCAACACAAGGAACTACTGTCAGTCAGCACAGCCATGGAGGGCCTCCCGCCAGACCTGCCCGTGGGCTTAAGCATCTCCATTTCCAGAGTGGCACAGGCTCGCACCAGGCATTGACCCCTGCTGTTCGTGGAGCGGCCAGCCCGTTAGTGCCCAAGCGAGCGGGATCGATCCCAGATGTGCGCCTTGCCAATTACGGCGAGCGCGGGGCCGTGTGCAGAATGCCAACAGGCTCATTTGTCTGTGGGCCAGCCCAGCCCTCCAGCAGGCCCAGCTCTCCCCATCTTTGAAGAGCTGAGAGCAGCTGGGCCAGGTGGGACTCCCGGGTCAATGTGACTTAAGTCGTCCTGATCTGAAAACCAAGCTGTCCCAACGGCCCCCAGCCCAGCCCTTGTGCATCAGGCACCTGTGGAGGCAAGTTAGACAGGCCGAGCAGGGAGGTGGTCCCATCCAGCCCGCTGACGGCGAGGCAGGGGCTTAGCCTGACTTCCAGAACCGTGGCCCTGGAAGCCCTGCTGAGGCCTCCGCCAGGGCTCAGGAAAGTAAGGTTTCCACACTCACCCACAGACACGCTGTGGCCCCAAGTCCGACTCAGCACCTCCTAAGACGGCCTTCAACACCTGCAGCCCAACCCACCTGCCTCCCAACCTGCTCAGGCCCCTGGAGCCACAGGGCTATGTCTGTCAGTCCACAAGTGACCGGCCAGGACACATTCCGGGCAAGTAAAAAGAAAAATGACTAACAGTCACGCCCCTCAGTTTCCACAGCTCTAACTGCTTGCTCTGGGCAAAGGACAGAACTCCCACCTCAGTGTACTTAGGGCTATACCAGGGACACACATGGCCTCAGGGGGCTGACAGATAGCACAGGTGCCAAGAACCACCAGGTCAGTCTCCCAGAGGCTT